GCAGAGCCAGGCACTGCCCCTGCCCGCATGCCCAGGGGAAGAGGGGGGCACAAAGCACAGAGACCCCCCGACACCTCCCCTCCTGGCTGAACCGTGCCTGCTCCGGTGCAGGGTCTGCCCCCAGCCCCATCACCCTGCTGCGAGAGGCAGGTTCAAGCCCCCCAAGCCCTTTTCCCACAGGAGGAGCGAGGCGGGGGGCAGAGCCGGGGGAAAAAAAGGCTGGGGGAGAGGAGAAGGGGGGATCCTAGTAAAAACCGGCTGAGAGCCCTAAAGCGGTTACACGGCGTGACACGGACTGAGCTCAGGGCCGAGGCGGGCTCAGAAGAGGAAGGCTTTCTTCTTCAGCTCATTGCGCTTCCAGAGGGCCAGCTTGCTGAACTCCTCGGGGGGCATCTCAAAGACCCGCAGGAAATCCTCAGGGGAGAGGTGCCGCTGCAGGGGGAGAGGAGGGTGACGGGGTGCCGGGTCCCCCCCTCCGTGCCCCACTGACCCCGGCTCAGCCCCTACCTCCAGCCTGGTCCTGTCCACGCCGGGTGGCAGCTTCACACGGCCTCGGTTCGTCACCATCAACATTTCGTAGGGGTAGATCTGCAAGGCCGGGGGGAAGCTGTAAGACCCTCTCCACAGCCCCCCCATCCCTGCCCAAGCCCCCGCAGCCCCCAGCCCCGCTCACCTTTTGCTCCAGCATGCTGGGCAGGGAATTGCCTCTGTCCATGCGCCCACGCTGGCCGTTCTGAGGGGGCAAAGCCTGATGTCAGCTGCGACCCCCACCTCCCCAAAGGGCTGCCCTCTCCCACCCGAACTGAAGCCAAGGCGATGGGCTCCAGCCCGGGGGCCGGCACACCCACCCTCCCCATCTCCAGCTCTCCCCTCTCCCCTCCGGAACCCATCACAGAGGTGGCCCCGGTGTCTGTCCCCCCCCGCCGGTGTACATCACCCTCTCGCTGGGTCTCCGCACCGGCAGCCAGACGAGTGCTTACCTGCAGGCCTGGAAAACAGAGAGGAGCTGGGCTCAGCCCTGGGGAACCCCCGCTGTGTCCCCCCCCCATCCTTCCCCGGGTGATGACATGACCCGAGAGGTGGTTTTCCACCCTCTGCTGAGCCCAGGCTTGCCCCAGCATCCCCCATCCCTGGGGACATCCCCCATCCCTGGGGACATCCCCGCATCCCCCGGGACACCTCCGCATCCCCCATCCCCAGGGTCATCCCCACGCCACGGGCTGATGCTCACCCGGACTGCCCTTATCGCTGCCTGCCGAGCTGAACTCTGCCGACTGCAGCTGCAAGGGGACAGGGGACAGCGTCAGAGTGGTGCCACCCCCAGACCCTGTCCGAGGTCGTGTGGCCCCGGCAGCACGGGGGGCAGCTGCCTGGGTGAGGGTGCTCCTGCCGGAGGTGGGCAGCGAGGAGCTCTTGTAGCTCCCCATGTGCAGGGCTACAAGAGAGCAAGAGACGGTCAGAGGTGCAGGCAGGGCTGCGGGAGCTGGCAGGGGTGCAGGCAGCCAGAGCCACCGGGTGGGGAAGGGATGGGATGCGGGAAGAGCATCCCACGTACATGTGTGGAAGGGTGTCCGGTCCGGCAGCGAGCGGGTTTTTCTCCGGATGGGGAGAGATTTCTCCATCTCCTCCTTCAGGATCAGCTTCCCGAGGTTGGAGGTGACCTGGGGGTGAAGGGACATGGGTGGGGGTCAGTGTCAGCACGTCCCCAGCCCCTCGCAGGGTGCCCGCCCGCCCACTCTGCCCCTCACCTTGCTCAGCTCCTGCCTCTGGAGCTCCCGCAGGTTCTTCATCTCCTCCGTCAGGTCCTCCTCCTCCTCCTCCCCTCTCTTGGAGGCCATCCGCCTCCTCCACTCCGTCTCTGGGAGAAAAGAGGGGATGTTATATCCATAACCCCCCTTCCAGCCCCCCCCCTTGCCTGCCCCTGTTCCCCACCTACCCACGACGGCCAGGGATGGGGGGGGGCCCTGGTGCAGCCCACCCCCTTGCCTGCCCCTGTTCCCCGCCTACCCACGACCCACGGTAAACCCCCTGGTGCAGCCCACCCCCTTGCCTGCCCCTGTTCCCCACCTACCCACGACGGCCAGGGATGGGGGGCACGGCCAGTAGTCGGTCTCAATCTTGGCAGGCTGGTTGGGGGCTGGGGGCTGGGCGGCGCCGCTGGGAACTTGGAGGATTCGATGATCAAGTCCTCTATGAGATGCTTCCCGTGGTGGGCGCCGGGATGGTGCTCTGCGGGGCACAGGGGGTGAGGCAGCGCCCCAGGGTGCCCCGTCCCGTGGGACAGACACCCCTGCTCACCTTTCTGCCTGTAGATCGGAGGCTTCTTGTATATGTTGAGCTCCGTTGTGTCGGTCTCTGCAAGGAAAAAGGGGTTGGGGGCCAGGAATAGGGAATAGGGAGCTCACGGCTCTGGAAAGGTGCTTGCCTGGACCCCCTGCCCAGACCCCCTGGTCTGCGCTGGGGCTCAGGGTCAGGCAGCGCTGGGGGGGTCACGGTGCCGGAGGAGCGTACCGGGTCGGTGGAAGTGCTGCACGCTGCTGCGGGCCGAGCTGCTGCCCTGGCGAGAGGTGGCCTGCGGGGTGCTGCTGGGGGGCAGGCTCCCCAGCCACTCCCGGAGGACCTGCGGGCAAGCGGGGCCGGTGAGCAGCGAGACCCCCAGCAATTCGGCATCGCCCCCTCCTCCTCGGAGCCCCCACGTGCATCCCAGAGCTGGGGCAAGCGGTGTCAGTACTCACCTCCGGAGACGGAGGAGGGGAGATGGATTTGGGAGACAGGGAGCGCTGCAGAAGGCAAGAAGCAATTTATTTCAGCAGCCCCACATGTGCCCTCTGGGACCCCTCCGTCAGGGGGGCTTCCCCCCACCGGCCCCCAAAAACAACTGGGGGATGCGAGCGGCCCTGGGGCACCCTCACCTCTCGGCTCCGGGGCAGCTCCACGTGCTCCATGAGCGAGTAGGTGAAATGGGGTTCGTAGATCATCAAGTCGGGGCGCTCGATGTCCAGGATCGCTTTGTCCTTGGGGATGGCGGCCAGGTCCTTGTAGCCCAGAACCTCATTGTCCATTTTGGCCTGGAAGGAAGGAAGGAAGGAAAAGCGCCTTCGTTTTTGCGTGTGGGAAGGGAACGTTGGGGAACAGGGAAAGCTTCCCCCAGGCTGGCATCCTCTGTGGTCCCTCCGGGGTGATGGAGAAGGGTTTGGGGAGGCACACCCCGACCCCACGGATGGAGGGATGTGGTGGGGAGATGGGAGCGACTTCTTACCACGATGCTGGAGGGCGATCCGGGGACGCTGGACCCGCGGGAGGAACAGACGCTCCCGGGGGAGGTCAGCGGTTGCTGGAAGGAAAAGGGGAGATTTTAGCAAATCTCATCCTTGGCACGGCCAGCCCAGGTAGGGGCTCGGGGTCATGGTCGGGACCCCGGGGCATGGCAGGGGGGTCCGGGGACACCCCTGTGCCCCATGGACCTCAGTGCACCGGGGCAAAACGTCCTTGGGGATGGGGAAGGAAGGAGGAAAAGCGCCTTCGTTTTTGCGTGTGGGAAGGGAACGTTGGGGAACAGGGAAAGCTTCCCCCAGGCTGGCATCCTCTGTGGTCCCTCCGGGGTGATGGAGAAGGGTTTGGGGAGGCACACCCCGACCCCACGGATGGAGGGATGTGGTGGGGAGATGGGAGCGACTTCTTACCACGATGCTGGAGGGCGATCCGGGGACGCTGGACCCGCGGGAGGAACAGACGCTCCCGGGGGAGGTCAGCGGTTGCTGGAAGGAAAAGGGGAGATTTTAGCAAATCTCATCCTTGGCACGGCCAGCCCAGGTAGGGGCTCGGGGTCATGGTCGGGACCCCGGGGCATGGCAGGGGGGTCCGGGGACACCCCTGTGCCCCATGGACCTCAGTGCACCGGGGCAAAACGTCCTTGGGGATGGGGTATTTCTGGATGGGCGCTGGGGTCTCCTTTGCTCCAGCGTTGTGGTTCAGGGCAGGGGACACCCGGGAGGTGACAGTGGCTTGGCCAGGACACGTTGCCACTAGATGGTGCTGCCAGGCTGGGCTGGGAGGAGGAGGAGGAGGAGGAGGAGGAGGAGGAAGGCAGGGCCCTGCTAGCAGCATCCCAGGGTGACTCTGCCGATGTCCTTGGCCACCAGCCCCTGCCCTTGGCCACCAGCTCCTGTGTGCCTTCCCTAGGTGCAGGGCTCCCCGCTGCCTGCATGCCCCCAGCACCCTGCCCTATGCCCCCAGCACCCTGCCCACGGCCCCCCCTTACCTTCTGCAGTCTTTCCATTCAGCTGCGGGCTGGAGGGGCCGTGTCAGTCACAGGGTCCTGCACGGGGAGAGCAGGGGTTTCGGGGCACTGCCAGGGTGGGCACGGAGCACCCCGAGGTTGGTCCTGGGGCGAGGTGCCCGAGGGCAGCGGGGCTGGGCAGAGCCCGGCTCCCCACCACCCTCCTGCTGTGGGGCTGAGTCTGGCAGCCCCCCGCGCACCAGACCCTAATGCAGCATGAGGCCAGCACGGCCCCACTGTCAAATATCCACGTGCTGGCAGCAGGACAGGCTTGCCAGGGGATGCCACCGTCCCTGGGGTGGCCGAACGGCTCCAGGTCTGCCCCAGGGGCAGGGGAGAGGCACTGGGGCATGCCGGACCCCCACTCACCACTGCCTCTGTGGCTCCACATCCCTCTGGGCGATAACGCCGGGCTGGGGCTCAGGTGCTGCCTCTGCAATGGAGACGAGAGAGGTGACAGCGGCTTGCAGGATGACAACGGTGTGAAGCTCAACCTTGTCTTCCCGCTCTCCCCGCAGTGGGGGACCCCCCAGTGCCCGCAGCGCCCTGCCTTGCTGCGTGCCGCCCCTGCCCGTGCCGGCTGCTGGCCCCGCTGCCTGGCGACGCGGCGGCTGCTGACGAGTGCTGGCAAGCGGAGCAGAGGTAATGAAGCCCTTTGTCCATCGGCAGGGAGCGGCCTTGAGAAGGCTCCAGCGGCAGCGGGACAGGCGTGCTGCGCTCAGCCCCTGCCCCGCAGCCCCGGGTCTGAGCCCTCCCTGTGCTTTAAACCCACAATGCCACACACAAAGGGGAAAATTCCCCATTCTCCTCAAAATTTCTCCTTTCAGAGGGGAGGGCATTGGGAAAACCTCGTGCAATCCAGGCAACAACAGCAACAGCAGCGCAGAGCCCTCCAGCCTTGAAGCCCCTGCCCCCCAGCCCCACGGCTCGCAGCACGGGCACAGAGCCCATCCCCGCAGGATGCGGAGTTGGAGAAGGACCAGATCTGACAAAACCCAGAGCATCCTCCAGCTGCTGGCAGCCAGCTTGGCATGAGGTACTGCCCTCGGCTCGCTCCTCCAAGGGTTGAGCCAGGACGAGGAGGCTCCAGGCTTGAGCCTTGTCTCTCCTTTGAGACCACTCCACCACAAATAAACCCCGCTTCAGCACTGGGGGGGGGTCGACCTGCTCACACCCATCCCCAGCACCTCCCAAGCCCTCCTGGGGCCTGCAGGACCCAGTACCAGTGGGACAGGCACCCCCGGATCGGCACCGAGCGCGGTACAAGGCGGCATTGTCTGGGTGAGCAGCGGCCGCCCCACACACCCATGAGCTCACACTTTCCATCGGCAGAGCCAGGGCAGCCCC